TGGGATTTATTTACCTTCTGTAATTGAAACTTTGTTGCAGCTCCAGCTCCGAGGCCAGCTGGCTGAAAGCAGGTATCTGGGGTTTGTTTAGCTTCTATAATTGCAACATTGTTGCATCCGGAGCTCAGAGCTGGGCCGCGGCAGGCGGGGAACCTTGGCTTCCTCCGTAGCCGGGGCAACCAAGCCTCATGTTCGCTTCAGCTGCGTGGCTGCCGGCCGCCATCTTGGTTGGCAGTTAATTTGCATATCACCCTGATTAGCCAATGGGAAGCATAGCGGAGGTACGGTTAATTACCATGTTTGTCTATTATTAGATAGGATTACTAAATCTGTATGATGGAATGTCAGTCTGGGTGGTCCCTGGTTATAGCCTAGTCATCTGCTTAGTAACTTGAGTCCCTTAACACTATCAGACAGACAAATGGGTATTTATCTCATCCCTGAAGTTATTTAGGGAGCAGGAGGCTTCCTCTTCACAGTACTGGGCCCAGGTTTTTAACTCTTGAGTAAAGTCTCAGGATTTGTCCCATAATTATGCATTTTCATAAATCAAGGACTTCTCACCAACATTCCCAGGGAAAATATTTAGGGGGTTTCCATGCACAACAACAAGCTGGATTAAGCATTCTCTCATCTAACCTTCAGCAGAGAAATGGATGAGGATAGAATGGCTCCTCGCACTTCCATGAATCCTTAAACTCCTCCACTTCATTGTCTTGGGCTGGTGGAGAGAGCCCTGGCCTGGGAGCTAAGGGTCAGGAGAGATTCTGAGTCACTTCTCATGGCTAGAACTGCAGCTTGTTAACTCCAACAGACACTGTTGGCTGACCTGTCTCCCCCCCACCCGCCTCCTCCCCACCCCCACCCTCCATGAGGAGCAGAGGAAGCTGGTCTGCAGAACACACAGGAAAGCCAACCACAGGGCAGTGAGAGGAGGCGCAGAGCAGCCAGAGGTGTCGGGGGCAGTTCCTGAAGACCCTGGAGTCCCTGGGACTCTCCTGAACCCATATAATACCCCCCTCCTTTTAAGCTGGCTCAAACCGATTTCTGTTACTTGAAACTTTGAGAGAACAAACTACACAGTGACCTGGGCAGTTAATCTCCTTATCCTGCAATTCCCTCATCTATTCAGTGAGAGTCATCATTCATTCAGCAAACATTTATTGAGTGTTTTCTCTGTGCTAGGCACCATTTTAGGTTTTGGGAGACATACCTAGGAGCAAAAGAGACTTAAAATAAAAAGGTCTCTGGAAATAAATAGACATATGAGAGAAGACACAAACTTCAAATCAGTACCAGCCATAAAGCTGGTTGACCCAACAGAGCGAGAGCACAAGCCCCAAATCTTAGAAAATGTACGAGAGAGCCACTTAAAACACCTACAGTCCATTTGCTTTAAAATAAAATTAGATGAAAAGACTGGCCTTCCTGTGTCTTTCTTTTACATCTGGTGCAACTGCTGAAGGCCCCTTCTGATATTTTGCTGGGGCCCCACACTTAGAAGCTCTCCTCCCATTGCGGCTTCCTGCCTGCTGGGCTCTGGGCAGCTTTCAGTCTATTTTCAGTTATCAGGAAGAGCAACGGATAATGCACATAACGGACAAATTAAATCCACACATACTTTTAGCATCTAATTTTAGCCACCCCTCTCCCACTCAGTTATTTGTCAAAACTACTTAGGAAACCGGAATTAACTGATTTGGTTCTATCTTCTGTTGCTGCCTCTGATAGATTGCAAATGAACCAAGTGAAGACTAAAAGGCAGGCAGCAGGGGGGAGAAAGCAAAGAATGTGAATAATCTGCTTGATGAACACCCAAACTCTCATACAATTTGGAAGATTAACTGTGTGAGGACTCAGTCTTACATATTGTCTGACCCTCATATCTGGGCTAAAACCTTCTTATTTTGGGCAAGTTACCCATAGTTCCTATGTAAAATCAGGAATGAGAACACCCTTTACTTCCTTTACTTATTATATTAGTATAAATACAATGCAGAGATTCTTATACAATAAAGGACAAATCATAGTACTGAACACTTACAGCTCAGGTGGCCCTCTCAGCTCCTCAGTCTTCCTTCTATAGATATGAAGCCTGTCATCACGAGCCAACCAGAGGGCAGGGATTTCCAATAAAATGGACAATCCAGATTCTGCAGCATCTCAGCCAGAAGTGGTGACAGTTATTTTAAAATTTTTACATATTCAAGTACTTCTCCATCTTCCCTCCAAAGTTAATGAAAAACTATTCCTGTTGCATGGGTGTGCACAAATGCATGTGCACACACCCACACACCCACCCTCCATGCTCACACACACACACACACGTACAGAGAGTCTCCCAAAATACATGTAACCAGTTCAGTGGAGGCTGACAATGCATCAGAGTCTGTTTTTGTTTTCTCATTGATTTCAGAGAGGAAGGGAGAAGGAGAGATAGAAACACCATCAGTGATAAGAGAGCCTCCTGCACACCCCACACTAAGGATGGATCCCATAACCCAGGCATGTGCCCTAACCGGGAATCCCACCATGACCTCCTGGTTTATAGGTTAATGCTCAACCACTGAGCCACACCCAAGGGGCAATCAGAGACTGTTTTAAGACTGATCTGACTATTTTTTTTCCACCCTTTCAGGATGGTGTAGCTCTCTGCCCAAGAAATAGGCTTCTTTCTTGATAAACTACTCCTGCTGTAAGATCTCTATCTTGTGGAGCAATCTCAACCACAGACTTCTCGCTAGTTCTTGGAACTCCAGGGGATGACAAAGCTTAAATAAGAAAATAATGGCTCGCCCCAGCTGGTTTGGCTCAGTGGATAGAGCGTTGGCCTGTGGACTGAAGGGTCCAGGGTTTGATTCCCGGTCAGAGCACATGCCTGGGTTGTGGGCTCGATCCCCAATGGGAGTGTGCAGGAGGCAGCCGATCAATGATTCTCTTTCATCGTTGATGTTTCTCTCTCTCTCCCCTCTCCCTTCTTCTCTGAAATCAATAAAATATATTTTAAAAAGAAAAGAAAAGAAAAGAATGGCTCAACCAGCGTGGCTCAGCAATTGAGCATTGACCTATGAATGAGGGGGTCAGGGTTTGATTCCAGGTCAGGGCATATGCCCGGGTTGCAGGCTCAATTCCCCGTGGGGGGCATGCAGGAGGTAGCTAATCAATGATTCCCTCTCATCATTGATGTGTCTCTCTCATCTTCTTCCTTCCTCTCTGAAATCAATAAAAAGATTTTTTAAAAGAAAATAATGATTTAAGATAGGAGGCAGGGCAGAATTTCAGAAGCAGTAACTAATTTGGAGTTTTAATACAAGTAACAAGTTTTGTTTTTCACCTCAAAGATTGGAGAGTGGCTGACCACTGAATGAGTTCTGCAAGTTAGGATTTTCAATCCAAGTTCTTGAGACTTTGATCAGAATGCCTTTACAAACGGTTGCCTGCCCTGATCTTCACTCTGGCTGCGACTGCCTTCCTACCCTCCCATCTACTTTTAGATGGAGACAGTCAGGCATACCTTTTCCCTAATGAATCTTGAAGACAAGGTGAATACATGCAGACAAATAGCTAAGCAAATATTAACTTATATTCATTATGGATCTGTAGGCTGCCCCTACCAGTCCCAGGGAGAGGACAGAGGTGGAACATCCTTGGGCAAGTCAGTTCTCTGTGCCAGATGCCCTTTCCCTTCTCAGAAGGCTCCCTGGAATGTCGAGGACTACTTGATCCAGGCATTACATCCAATGCAATGACCTTCCAATTAGACTACATGTTAACAATGATACATGTCAGGGACTACGGATCCTGCACAGGGTGGCCCAGTGGGTTGGGAATCAGGACCTGAATGCCTGCCTCCTTGCTGATCTTGGGTTAGCTCTAATGACAATAGGTCCAGTGGAGTCTTTTTTTTTTTTTTTAACTGTCAGGTTTTATTTTTTTAATCTTTATTGTTGAAAGTATGACATATGCCCCCTTTCCTCCCCCACCCCACCCCCTCCGCACACCCCCGCCCCCGCCCAAGCCCTCTCCAACCCACTGTCTGCGTCCATGGGTTATGCATATATATGCATACAGGTAGTGTAGTCTTTGGACCATCGGCGTGTTATCTCAGGTCCTTGTTAAAGGTGCAGACACCACCACAGAGCAACTGAATAAAAATTTCTGGTGTTGGAGACCTAGGACTCTGCATTTTTAGAGCATCCTAAGGTTTGGGACCTACTCAAGATTTGGAGCTCTGTATCTGAAACCCAGGAGCTAGAGATCTGACTGTCATGTTCCCTTCCTGCTCCAACATTCAATGGTTCTGGGTAGAAGCTCATTTTTTTAGGTTGGTCCCTATATTCTCCAGCCACATTCCTGTGTCATTACTGGTCACTTAGCAGACAACTGCCAACTCACCAGGATTTAACAAGCATGTGACAGTAACTATACCTTCTTCCCAACCTAGTTATTTGTCTTGTTTTGTTTTGTTATTGTTTGTGTGTGTGTTTGTTTTTTTAAATCCTCACCTGAGGATATTTTCCCACTGATTTTCATAGAGAGTGGAAGAAAGAGGGAAAGACAGAGAGAAATATTGATGTGAATGATACACATCCATTGGTTGGCTCCTGCATGTGCCCCAACCAGGGCCCAGGACAGGGAGGAGCCTGCAACCAAGATATGTGCCCTTGACCAGAATCAAACCCAGGATCCTTCCTTCGGTCCACAGGCCGACGCTCTATCCACTGAGCCAAACTAGCTAGGGCTTCCCAACCTATTTTTTTAATATATATTTTATTTATTTTTTTTTTTACAGAGAGGAAGAGAGAGGGATAGAGAGTCAGAAACATTGATGAGAGAGAAACATCAATCAGCTGCTTCCTGCACACCTCCTACTGGGGATGTGCCCGCAACCAAAGTACATGCCCTTGACCAGAATCGAACCTGGGACCCTTCAGTCCGCAGGCCAACGCTCTATCCACTGAGCCAAACCAGTTAGAGCTATTTTAAAAATCAAATATTTCCTAACCCTGGTGGTCAGTGGATGCAATAGTCACATTGGTACTTGAACACATGATTTGCTCTCCACATCAGAAAGAAACATTAACAATTTACTCCATTCTCTTGCCATAGGAAGACCTCAACATAATTAAGATGGCCCACCTCCCTTAATGAGCATAGAAGTCACATTTTAGGATAGTGGACAAGTCACTCTCAATGAATTTCCTGTAGTTTCTAAGGATGAGTTGGATTTCAGCTCTTAAACACTTTGAGCACCTGGTATACGGTGACTCTCCATGCTCTCCACGTGGTGTGGCAAAAAGCAATAATGCCAGCCAGTGTTTCAAAACCCGCATTATCACTGCTGATCTGTGTGGCCAGTTAGTTTATTTAGTTAAATGCCAACTAATGAAGCCAAGGACATGGATTTGGTCTTTTGTAGGCCAGCTGACTTCAATCACTTTCTTTTATGTACTCGTCTTGAAAATGTTGACCACGGGAGTCTGCGTAACAGTGTGAAAACCAGTTACTGGTAAAATAACCTACATCTTATAGTCTTTGATGTCAAGTCAGAAGGTTCCCCTTTAGATACTAAAGATACAAGTAGTAGATATAGCCATGGATACTCTCAGGCAGATATGTTTTAGATTGTTTTGCAGTATTATTATAACTCAAGGTAAAATTCCTTAATTCCATTATTTTCCAGGAAATACATTCTAGAATAAAACAGGTGTCTTTATGTGGTTACTGGCTCACCTGAAGGCTGGTCACCTAGTGCAGCCCGGATCAACGTCTCTCCTCGTAATTCCTTCCTTCTTTTTAGGACATAACAGCTCCCTTCTTGGACCCCTGAGCTCTGCCTTACTCTCTCTCCTGGCCCCAGCCCCTGGAGTCCAAAACTGGAGTTGACAATACACAGAATCCTGCAGAGAGCATCCCACTGCCTGTGCTTTCCCAGCGACCCAGCGAACAAACCAGGTTAACTTGGTAGGCTGTAAATGGAGGGAGAAGGGAAAGGGGAAGTCAATGTGAGGTTTAAACTTAAATCTCTGAATCCTTTTGCTGATAATAGTAATATTAATAGCTACCATTTATTGTTTTAAACTTTGTGTTAGTTCTTGGGAACAACACTTAGATGCATGACCTTATTTAATTCTGATAACGTTCTCCTGTCCTTGTCTCTGATCACCACACTAGAATTCTAAAAAGTTTCCATTTCCTTACCCTCTTCCATATGTGCACCATGCAGGAGGGTGCTAAGGATTAGGTAAAAAATCAGAGGAGACTCACGAAAGATAATCATGAGTCCAGATAAGGAAAGGAGGAAAACTTCAATGAAGGGTATTTAATGTCAGAGAGAAACTGTACATCTGGGGCAGAGATGAAGAGACCATGCCAGGCCAGCGAGCCTGACCTAGCTACGCATCCTGTCGCTCATGAGGCCTCCGCTGTTGGAGGACTTGACAGCAGCAGCATCACAAGGTTCCTCTCCCTGGTGGGAGCACAGTGCAATGTTCACTCAGTACGGTTACACACCCGGCTTTGTGCAGCTCAGGCACAAACATTCAGTCCATGTCCATGTCTTTCCTAACATGTCAGGCCAAAGGGCCGCTTTCCTCCTGGTGCAGGGGACTTGCGGCAGGAGCTAGTGAACTGTGGAGGAAGAGTCATTCTCATTGGAAAGAGGCCCAGGGAGGAGCGGGCCCCTTTGCAGTCCTGGGTCAGAGATGGCATCGGACGGCTCCTCACTTTTGCAGGTCTGCACACAATGGAAAGGTAGGAAAGCAGTGGCCCTCTCACAGAACCCGTCAATATTCTGAGCAAGACCCTGCAGACTTCAAAGCCTACACTGAGCTCCTGCCGCCTCCCACAGGGCCTGTAGGCCCACAGGCTGGAGTCACAGGGCAGTCATGTACCCAACAGAGACTCCAGACTTCCAGACGAAGTCATCTTCTCCTTCTACCCACCACCTCTCTCCTCAAAGCCATGGTGGATAGGCAGCAAATATTCCCAAGTCCCACATCCTGAGAGTCCCCCCTCGAGGGAGGGGAAAAAGCCCTTTGTCCCACCCCCTGGGAGCTGACAACCTGCAAAGTCCAATCCTCAAAGACCTCTAGCATCTCTTAAATAAGCTTTTCCTTTCCATTTTCATCTTTTAATTATCATTCATCCATTCATTTATACAAATATAAAATATATTTATATAGATTTTTATATATAATCTTCTGTGAGGCAGAGTGGAGAGGAGGCCAGGACGTGGTCCCGGCTATTTGCAGACGTGCTGGTCGACGACCTCCGTGCACTTCCTGCACTTGACGAAGCAGCACCAGTGGAACTTGCAGTGGCAGCGCTCCACCTGGACGCTCTTAAACTGGTCGTAGCCGCGGCCGCAGCACATGAGCTCGCAGCCATCCATGCCCTCCGAGGTCTTGTTGCAGAGGCGGCCCTGGGTGCCCAGGGAGCCTGTGGTCTCGTTGCGCAGGCAGTAGTCAGGGCTGGGGTCCACATACACCAGGTCCTCCGGGGTGGGCTGGTTGAAGCGGCTGTTGACCAGCTCCAGCTTGCCTTTGCGGGTGATGCGCATGGCAGCAGCGCTGTCGTACTTCTCCTTCAGCTGGTCCCCCACCTTGCGGAACTCAGCCAGCTGGAGCCAGCAGGTCTTGAGGCTGCAGGACCCAGAGACGCCATGGCATTTGCAGGCTACATCTGCCATCTTATACACAGCCTGGGGGGAGGAGAAAGAAGGAAATAAGGAGAGTCCCTGATGGAAGATGTCAAGAGGGTGGCTAGCGTGGCCATAGGCCAAGTATAGAAGAGGGCAGATGGGCGAAGGGGGGGAGTAGGAGTAGTCTTTCAATGTAAACAAAGATCTTTCCAGGACCCTAAGTTGCTCAGATTGACAGCAAATAAAGGGGCACTATGAAGAAACATGCCGGTGAGCATGCGGCTGTCTGACCTGTGGCAGGGGTAGCATGGGGCGCTTGCTACTTTATCCATTTTTTATTACTTGAAATTTGTCACAATAAATGTGTCAGGAAAAAAAGAGATATTTCTATCTTGATCTCAAAGAAACAAGTAAAAACCAACAAAATGTGTCCAGCTTTCATATGATGTGGAGCACCAGTGAGAAAACAGAATCCAGCCAAATTACAAACCGGTAACAGAAACTGCTGGCAGGCCCTGGCTAGCCAGAGCTTTCCCAATCCTGCCACAGCTCCTAAGAATTCAATAGTCACTAACTCCACAGAGTCATCAGGAGCCTCACCATAGGTCACATCATATCTGATACCCCTGGGAGAGGCAGTGACAGTGGAGGGAAAAGGGTGAGGCCGGTGCAGTGGGAGAGCAGGTCAGCAGAGGTCCATCTACAGTGGCAATTCATTTGAAATCAGATCCACCCTGGAAGTCACTGAACCACAACAATGTGGAGCGGATTTGCACTTGGGCTATCCCAAATCAAAATGTAAAAGCAAAGGTAGACCAGAAAGCTGCTTACAAAGTGCTTTCCATGCAACCATACTGATGCATTGTGTTAAATCACTCTGGCAGCAGGCCCAGATTGCAGATGGCAGGATGAAAACGCAAGCCCACTGCAGAACATTTTCTTATGCCACAGCTATTGTCACCAACTAAGTAAGGACTCATTTTTCAAGACTTTTTCTCAGGTTTCTTTTCAAGAGGCCCCAGGTTATGTCTTTATTCAGTACTATGCAGGGATCATTGCAGGTACAAGGGACAACTTACCCATCAACATATTACTATCGTCCAAACTCTTCCTGATCTTTTTTTCTGGTATGGGATTATTCCCACTATTTTATAATGGAAAAATTGAAGTTCTAGAAATCCTCGGTAACCTGTTCAGGGCCACCCAGAAGGGACTCAGAATGTCTAGCACTTCTGCTCTCCAGTCTTGGGGCTTAAAAGCAGCTTAGGGTGAGAAGGAAGGCAGGCTCCCCCCCAAGGTTTAAGGCAGCCACTTGGCTGGCAGCTCCAGGCCCAGGGCATAAAGGAACCAATACCCCATTCCAACAGGCACTTCAAAGACAGGGCCTGCAATTATCCTTCTGGCACAAATCCCCATGTCTGAGCTGGAGGCTGACATTCCTCTGGAAATGGTCCTTAGACAGGGATGTCAGGCATCTGGCACTGCTGGGAGGAAGCATTAAGGGCCTAAAACTGTGTACCTTGCTGCTAAGTGACTAAGGAAACAGGATAAGCATCTGCACTGGGAACAAACACTTAGGGAGATTTGGGGAAAAAGAGTCAAAGCAAGACCTCAAAGAGTAAGGATAGGAATTTTAGTAAAACAAATTCACGAGAAAGAATGTCACTGATCCTGTTTAGACATTCATTCCATCCTTCCTCTAGAAAGAAAGACATTGTAGAGACACAGTATTTGTATTTTAAAATATTTTACTATTGATAACATATAAGTTCCTCTTGTAGGAGAATGGCGGCAGGGGAGGGGGGGAATCCTAATTTTTGCCCCCCCACCCCCGATCTGTAAAAGCAATAAAATGTTTTAAAAAATGTTTTCAGTTCTATATCTTGCCCCTGGCAAGGCCCTCTTTAAATCCTTCTTCACTTCTACCTGACTGAGCATGGTAAAGACAGGAATGTCACAAAGATTAGGCAGCTTTTATCTAGAAAATGCTTGGAAGCCCTTGAGTAACAAGGCAGTATCAACCCACTGCTCTCACTATCAATATCTGAAATGGAGTTACTAGAGAATCTTAAAGGGCAAGAGACATTTCTTGCAAATATTCCCAAGATTTACTCGGGGGTCAAGATGTCAAATCCTAGATAGTCTGTGTTTGTTTGTTTGTTTGTTTATTTGTTTTTTAAATCTGGTTGAAAAGCCCTGGCCGGTGTGGCCGGTGAGTGTTGGTCCACTCACCAAAGGGTTACAGGTTCGATTCCTGGTTACAGGCATGTACTGGGTCTTGGGCTCCCCACATGCAGGAGTCAGTCAGTCGATGTGTCTCTCTCACATTGATGTTTTCTCTCTTTCCTTCTCTCTCCCTCCTTCCCTCCCTTTCACTCTTTCTGAAAAGCAATGGAAAAAATATACTCAGGTGAGAATTAACAACAGCAACAACAAAACTCTGGTTGTAAAATACTTGTTCAGGAAATTTTCCATCCCAGCCACCATTTAATCCTTCCTGTGGACCTTTTTTGTTTTGTTTTGTTTTGTTAATCCTTATCAGAGGATATTTTTTCCATTGATTTTTAAAATATATATATTTTATTGATTTCAGAGAGGAAGGGAGAGGGAGAGAGATAGAAACATCAATGGTGATAGAGAATCATTCATCAGCTGCCTCCTGCATACCCCTTACTGGGGATCGAGCCCAAAACCTGGGCATGTGCCCAGAATTGAACCCAGGGCCTTTCAGTCTACAGCAGTGATGGCGAACCTATGACACGCTTGTCAGAGGTGACACGTGAACTCATTTTTTTGGTTGATATTTCTTTGTTAAATGGCATTTAAGTATATAAAATAAATATAAAAAATATAAGTCTTTGTTTTACTATGGTTGCAAATATCAAAAAATTTCTATATGTGACACGGCACCAAAGTTAAGTTAGGGTTTTTCAAAATGCTGACACACTGAGCTCAAAAGGTTCACCATCACTGGTCTACAGGCTGACACTCTATCCACTGAGCCAAACCAGCTAGGGCCATTGATTTTTAGAGAGAGTAGAAGGGAGAAACAGAGAGAGAAAGAGAGAAAGATTGATGTGAGAGAGACACATCAATTGGTTGTCTCCTGCATGTGGGGTGCCGGAATCAAACCTGGGGCTCTTTGGTGCTCTGGCCAATCCTGTAACCACTGAGGCACACGGGCCAGGGCCTTTGGAACTTTTTTATGTAGGTGTGAGGAGGTGGAAGGTGAATAACTTTTGCCTCAGATGATGATTAATGGCTGAGGCTTATTCCTTGAGAAAAGGGTAAAAAATGGACAAGAATTCCCATGCTGGGGGATCCAAGATGGTGGCAGAGTAGGTGGATGTCACATTCACCTCCTCCCAGGACCAAACTGGAATTACAACAAAAATATAGAGCAAGAAACCTGAATCACCAACTGAAGACAAGCTGAAGAGAAGTCTTATAACAAGGATGACAGTAGAGGCCACAGTGAGACTGGTAGAAAGGGCAGAGGTGTGAAAAGGGCTGGCCCCCCTTCAAGGGCAGAGGCTGAGATTTGAGAGGGATATCTAAGCTTTGGGGGGTTCCCCTGAGAAGCATGAGGTCTCAGTCCCAAGCCACGCTCCCCACCCCAGAGCACTGGACTGGGAAGAAGTGCCCATATCACATTGGCTGTGAAAATCAGTGGGGATTCTGTCTGCCAGGGAGAGATGGGAGTCTGCTAGAAACACAGGCACCCTCTTAAAGGGCCAAAGCACCAAATCTCATTGACAGCCACTTACCCTGGGCTCCAGCAGAGGGAGGGTGAAGCAGACTAGAGTTGTGTGAGGAGAGACTGTGATTTGTGGCTCTGGGGAGGGAATTAAAGGGACAGGATTCCTGTGCTGAGTGCCCCTCCCACACTATAGACTCCATCTTTCTTGGATGGAGCATTCCCCTCTATACAACATCAGCCTAGGGAAAAGCAACAGCTCTACCCTTTGGACTCCCTCTCACCCTACCCTGGGGAGCTTGTGCCATGCTGAGGAGTTAGCTGCCTGAGCTGGGGTGTAGAGGTCAAGCAGACTCAGGGGGTATCAATAACTTAGTTCTATGGCTTTGGGTGGGGGACATTCCCACCACTTTCCCATGAACCTGACTGGTGCCCCCCCCATGGGAGATCCACTAGCCCCACTCTCTGGACTTGTGGCAGCCCCACCCTCCAGACTCCTGGTGGCTCCGCTCTGCCAAGATCTGGGCAGAATCCAGGGCTGACTGAGTTGTGTAACTCTGGGTCAGGAGGCCACTCCCCCCACCTACTCCCAAGCCTGACTGGCACCTCCCCTCATGGAGAGCAACTAACCCCACCCTCCTGACTCCCAGGGGCCCCACGAGGCTGATCGGGTTCCTGGCAGAATATGGGACAGACTGAGTTGTGTGGCTCTAGGACAGGGGCCATTTTTCCCTCGCATGTATGACCAGTGCAGAGCTCTCCATTCACGCAGCCAAATTTTGATATGTTTGGGCCTGATAAACTCCGCTAGCCTCACCCTGATGACTCCCTGAGACCCCACCACATAGGTCTGCCAGCACCCAGTAGGGACAGCTAGACTTGGTATAGGCTGGGGCACTGCTTAGTGGACTCAGACCCAGCGCTGGCACTGAGTTTGAACCTGCAATATCTGGTGAACACCACTTGCCCTTACTTGGTGAGTCATTGAGAACCTACCTCATGGAACTCAAGTACCGCCAGAGGCTCTTTCAGGACTGAGACTAACAGGCAGCTGGCAGGAATAAGCAGACGGAAGTAGATCTCATGGTGCCTTGGGACTTTGCTGACCTGCCCCCAGCCCAGTGCTCATAAAAGCTGGACGTGGTGGGCAGCTTGGTCCTTCCCACGAACACACAGGCCAAGCAGCGGTAACTACAAACTATGGGTTGCTTGGTAACTTCAAACAGGTTGCTCAGGACCAGGCACAGGCAGTGTCTGACATTGGCCTGCACCAGAGTCCCTCCCAAGAGCCCCCAGAACCAACGCACCTAGTGGCCAGCTTCAGACAACATCAGAGCAGGAACCAATTAGCTTCACAAGTGGC